GTAGCATTGCATGGCTGAATCTGACATTGCTTTGATTTAGTCAACATGCCAATTTAACCCTAACTATGTAACAGACTATCTGTGACTATCGTGAAATGTTGCGATACACTATGCCAGGATGGATGGATGGATGGAGAGACAGAGAATATACAGTATGGGAAAGTTGTGTGACAGATTAGTGTATATTTAAATAGACTAACCTAATAAAATATTTATATTTGGCAAATTAAAATTGAGAGCCAGTTTAGTGTAGTAGTCAAAGACACTAAGTCAGTAACCAGGAAGCCATGAGTTTCTAGTCCTGTTTTGGGTAAGAAGCCAGCAGGACTTTTGTCTATCAGCCCTTTTTCAGCCCTAGGAAGAAAACAATGGCCAACTACTTCAGGAAAAATGTTGAGAAGAAAACTGCACGAGCTTACCCAAGTAGTTATCAGGAATCAAGACTGACCTGAAAAGACACACACACACACACACACACACATATCTATTAGGGACAGTAAAAAAAATAGGTAAAGGGTAATTGTACATGTGTAGAAGGAATGTTTGTTTTCTGAAATCAGATGAAATAAAATACTTTATGTGTATGTTAAAACTGAAGTATACATCCCTATTCATCTTTGGTTCAAGCATTCAAAAGAATGCTTATTCAGAAAGCTCAGTTAAACAAGCCTGAATTCCACTGAAAACCAGGATTAATGTGATTAATGTGTGTCAAGACAGGGCAGAAGCAAGCATTAAGATATCATTTGGTTAGATGAAAACCTGCCTAAAATGCGACAGCCAATTATTTAGCTGTTTCCTCAGAGTGCATATTATAGGCTTCAGAGTACAGTCTAAGCTCATAATTTAATTAACTTCACCCATACATGTGATGGCCTTTATTTGCTAGTGGCCACAGAGATTGTCAGAATTTATTTAAAAAGATGTCTACCAGGAATCATTAAGTCAAGGCAGCAAAACTAGGGGAAACATTAAGGCATTTTTAAAGCATCTCTGGGAATTTTGCTCAATGAAATTACTTGCCAACAGCAACCTGGAAGAAAACAAACAAACCCTTTGAGGATTTTATCAACATTTCTTCCACCTTTCCTCTTTCAACTTGAATCAAGATCAATTCCTGAACTCCTCCATTTGCTGACATGAGGAACAAATGTGTTGACATGATTAGCAATGTTTAGAATGGATGTTCGCAGAAGGAAGAAAATCTACAGACTTTAGTGTAAGCCTGTCAAGGCAGCAAAGTACATTCTTTCCCTAGTTTTCTGGGGGTTAAAAGACTCTTAGATTGAATCATTGTCATTTTTCTTGTTCTCAGAGAGGCCAGAAATCATTAGAAATCTCATTTAAACTTTTCATTGTAGGTTTCAAATTTACAGTAGAGGTGAGTTCATCTGCAGGATTTCTAAAGGGAATGTTTCATTAAAGCATATGTGAAGACAGAGGGAGGTAGGGAGGGAGGGAGAGAGAGAGAGTGTCCATCAATGATCAGCCTGAGTTTTCTCTCTTTTCATTTTTCTTATTATGAACCTCATTTGATGAAAGAATCAGTCTAAGTCCTTGTATGGCCTTTTGGTCTCACCAAACACCCCAATAAATTATATAATTTAAATTATAATGCAATATATTAACAAAGGTCTTCTTTTGTGATACTTTTTTTGCTAATATCTAGATTTTATCCATATAAACGATCCCCAGGGTTGTAGCAAAATTTCTAGAACAGGATCTTCACTATGTGCTTATGATGTCCAATATGTGCCAGCAGGCAAGTTTCTCAGTACCCATCAGCTTGATGTCCCACTAGATTTTATATATTTCTTTCACGTAGTGTTGTTTAGTATTTTTCATGATTCTGGATCCTGTATAGATTAGATAAAAGTTGACATGGGAGTTGATGTCCTGGGAAGCTAGAGGATGACACAACACAAAGACTTTTTCTTCTACTCAATTATTTTTCACCAACTCACCGCTGCAGCCTTTTTAAATAAAACACCCCCATAATTGCAAATGTGCCAAGTATCCCCCCAAAAGATGAGAGGTCCCTGTTTCCAAATGATGCTATAAACACCTGCACATCTTGCTTCTTTCTAAACTGTTTCAGTGGTTCAAGAAGAAACCATAATGAGAAAACTGGAAGGGATACACTGGCATTGAGAAGCAAAAGGACTTCCATCAAAGAGGACAAAGCTGGTGCCATAGTTAAATGAAGTAGCATACTTCCAGAAAAGTGTAATGATGGGTACTAAGTTAGATAACTGTAAAGAAAGATTAGACAAATACTCAAAGGCTATTCGTGGCTGCTTATTTTGATGTTTGTCAAATACCTTCTATTCCTTTTCTCATCATTGTCACTTGGATGACCAAGATCTATCTATCTATCTATCTATCTATCTATCTATCTATCTATCTATCTATCTATCTATCTACACATTAAAATTAATTTGAGGTCACTTTCATCCATCTTACCTCTCCTGAAAAATAGTTGAAAGCAGTTCCCTCCCCATTCCACTAAACTGCTTTCCAGCTCCATTCTCCTGTGCAGGGCAACAGAAGGAGACCGAGCCAATCAGCTGGGACTTGGGAGGCAGAGAACAGATGGGGGCAGGGCCAGACAGAGGTGGTATTTGCCGGTTCTTTGAACTACTCAAAATTTTCGCTACAGGATCTCCAGAACTGGTCAGAACCTGCTGAATACCACCTCTCGTTGAAAGACCATCTGTAATTGAAACACTGGGAACAATGAAGACAAATCACAGGCTTATCCAGAGTTGCTACAATATCTATACAAGCAAAACCCTCTTATTACCCCAGTCTAAAAGGAAAATTGCAATTGTTTGTACCCCACTTTCCCCAGATGCCTCTTTGTTTTGTGTTATGTACAAAACTGAAAGTCTGAATTTTGAAGGGACAGTTGAAAAAATGTTCCAGGATCTAGAAGGCACAGTGAGGCAGTAGTTCCTATAAATGGAAACATTAGAGTTACCAAACATTCAGCAACAGGAAGACATATTCCCCTATTCGTCCTTGTCTCCTTCATCTGGCAGGCATAGCGTTAATATTAAATTTCATCCAGCTTTTTGAGTACCTTGTTTTGTTTTGTTTCAAAAAAAAACCCAACTGTTTTCATTGAAGTCATTCAAATTTTTGTATAGCGTGACCTTGTAAATTATTGGATGTTTTTCTGTTAGGATTTTTTTTCTAGATAAGAGAGGGGATACAAGTAGTCCTTGATTTACAGCAGTTCATTTAGTGACCATTCAAAGTTACAACAGCACTGGAAAAAGCGACTTATGATCATTTTTCACACTTACGACCATTGTAGCATCCCCATGGTCACATGATCAAAATTCAAATGCTTGGCAAGTGGTTCGTATTTATGATGGTTGCACTGTCCTGGGGCCATGCAATCAGTTTCTGTGACCTTCTGACAAGCAAAGTCAATGGGGAATCCAGATTCACTTAACAACCATGTTACTAACTTAATATATGTAATGATTCACTTAACAACTGTGGCAAGAATAGTTGTAGAATGGAGCAAACTCACTTAACAAATGTTTGACTCAGTAACGTAAATTTTGGGCTCAATTGCAGTCATAACTCAAGGAGTAACTATATGGGAAGAAGAGATCATTTGTTATATTTTAACAGAAAGTGATAGGTTATTAAAATTGTTACTAAAACATACGAAGAACAGAAAATTGGAGCAATTTAAAATACGGTCTTTAAAACATCATAACATAATGATGTTTGATTAGACCTTGATTAGAGCACCTAATGGGTATCTTGATTAGAAAACCTATAATGTGTAGGGAACATAAGTTTTCCACACACTCCCACCTCATCCCATTTTTAATGGCCCGTGAGCCATCTAGATTATGCTACCTATGTGTCTAACATACAGTAAGTACAGCAAGTCTCTCTTAGAATTTGTATAAGTATAGCTTTTTTGAAAGGAACCTGCTACCCTCTCCCAAACATTTGTTCTGGAGATACATTACCCTATCACCATCATGTTCTTTGAGCTTTCAAAATCTGGTTGGGGGGTGGGAGTGAATACATATGAACAAAAAAGAGAGAACTGTCTCACTATAGAAAGATTGCCTGTCCTTATTTAAAGGGTTTTGTTACATGACTGTTATTATTTCAAAGCCAGTACCATTTGCTGTTATGTAGACAGTGCATGATCCTCTCCTTAGGCTGATTTATATCTTCACATGGAGAAGAAATTGGTGCACTCATGTTTTAGTTTAGAGTTGTACATGATATATTGAACTGAACACGTAACTATTTTGATTCTGTGATTTTTCTCCAAAAGATTGCCACTGGTAGTTTAGAAATAAATTAGATTGCCCCGTTGCATGATAGAATGTGATTTTAGGCACTTCTGGTCTACGCTGGGAATTATTATAATTAATAGACAAGTTTCCAACATTTTTTATACAAGCACATAAACCATGGCATCACTGAACAGCCTAGAAACAGTAGGAGAATGATGACAGCTGCTAAACACTCCTAGCACTATAATCTCTAGGTGCTTACTTTGTGAAGGGGGCACTGGAGATTTGGAGCATTACTGAAATCTAATCCAAGCATTTTACATTTGCTTCCTAGGGGCCAAATCCATTGACAGGCAATCTGCTAGTTTCTCTATGTCCTTACTTTTGTCATGACACTGACAGCAAACAGAAGCATGGATATCACCGGGATCTGCAGAAGGATCTGGGGTGGGAGGCGAGATGTGATTCAGGTGAGATGTCAAATCCATCATGGAGGAGAACAGCAGAAAAAAGGGGCAGAAGGGGAAAACAGAGCAGTCAGTTTCTGGTTGAATGTGCCAACGTAGACTACTTTGTTGAATGTAGTCACAGGAGGAACATAGTAGGGGATAAGGGAAGGGCAGCAACCCCTCAAAATGGCTGTTAGGAATGGCACTTCGATCCTATTCCTTATTTTGCTGTATTGAATAGTGGAGAAAGAGATAAGGAGGAGGGTGGGTAGGTAGGTAGGTGAACAGAGTTGCTGTTGGCCATGAGCTGCAGTCTGGACTTCTATTAGATTGGAGATGCATAGTGGTTTCTTTTGACTGAGGAAAATGAAGGTATGATTTTACTGAGTTATTCCAGTGTAAGGAGGATTTATGTTTTTTTTAATTGGCCCAGAACAATGTAAAACAACCAGGAGTTTCTCATTAGTGAATTTTACTCTCATGTCAAAATTATTTTAGTTTACAGTTACAGCAACAAAGTGATTACTACATTATTATAGGAAAACCTTAGTTGGTTTTCCATTGCACTTGGTACAGTGCAATGTATTAGACTTTTTCAGGATAATAACAACAGCATCACACTGACGGCCTACACTGATGCAGCACACAGGTAAACAGATCAGTATCCTTTTTTGTAAAAGCATCTTTTTCTTTTCTCCCTTGGTCAGACCCAAGATGTTTGATGCAGCGTCTGGGGGAACATAAGATTGAGAATCACGATCATACAAGATGGTACGTGCCATATGCATCTACTGCATGACTGATCCTGTAAAGTTTACCAAACCTCATAGGTATTTCGTTTTTCTTCAAGAAGGCATTAAAAATAAGTTAATCATCTGTGATGAAATTAAAGGCTCTTCTCAAAAAGAGAAGCAATATAGGAGATGCTTCAGATGGTACCATTGGGGTATTATTATGGGTAAGATAGAAACAATTCTGGTCAATATTAAGCAGCCTTCCAAGAAGCCTCTACCACAAACTCTGAGAAGCATGGGAGTCATATTATTTAGTAAAAACAGGATGCCACACTTTTTAAAATCTTGAGACTAATGGGAGCAGGGAGATCCCAGCCTATTATTCCATTCTTAAATCCAGGTGAGCATCCTCATAGCTAAACCCCACCCTTCTATCTTCTTCTCTTTGTCTTATAAGGAGAAGTTCAAAGAGCATCAGTCAGTCCTTCCCCGCCACATCTGCACTTTTCTTCACCATCATTTATTTTGTGGCGAAGATAAAAATTAAAACTCCAATCTAACTAAAAGTTCAAATTAACACTCCCTAGTTTTAATCAGCTGGCCCTTGAAAGCCCTTCCAAGCCCTTGAAAAACGTATGAAATCATGGGACTCAGAGGTCACGGGGAGAAGGAGCCATAGGGCACCAGGAAGGAGTTTGAAGGCAGTTGGCAGGTAGCCACCTTTTTATGCAACAAGTTTGGGAAAGGAAAGTTGTTTTGCCGCCTGCAGGGAAAATGGTGGTGGTTGGAAACAGTCGAGTGGAATACGAACATGCTGAGATGTTAACAAGGGTTATGCCTATGGCTGAGGCGATGAAGGGGAGGGAGTGGGGGAAAGAAGGTATGAAAGATCCCAGGATTTGGATAGTGGCTTATGCCATGTGGAACCTGTTCCTTACTGCTGAGATCATCAGGCAGTGGTAGTATTCTACTGGTTCAGCCCAGTTCAACAGAACTGGTAGTAAAAAAAAAAAAACCCTCCCACGATCAGTTGAAAGGAGGGAAGAAAGCCTTGACAATCAGCACAGGATAGGCCCTCCCACTTGCCCCTGAGCTTTTCTGTTCTTTATCATCTCAGCTGATTGGCACTGCATGTCTCAGCTGGTGTGTAGAAAGCTGTGCATGCCTTAGGTGCGTGCACGTTAGGTGTGCATGTGTGATCACTGAAACAGTAGTGGAACAGGTAGGATCTCACTGCTGTCATCAGGGTTAGTGAATGAGGAGCACGATGGAAGGGCAGCCTGTATGCTCTAGTTACCTGAATAATCACTCCTGAAACAAAAGTTCCTGTTTCCTTCGGCTGAATGACCAAATATCTGAGAAGCCTCTGATTGTTTGAGGTTCAAAGCAAAACGTATTTCCATGTCATGCACAGGCTTATGAAGAATGTGCATCTGTGAAGAAATCCCATTGATTCTAGGAAAAATCCTCAGTAAATGGGATAGAATTTGGATCAGCAGTTTAATCAGTCAAAGTTGTAGCTGCTCTGTTAACTCTTCTTCATTATGATCCAAAACAAATAAAACTGGGATCCATTTATTTATGTCTAGCGAAGCATTCTGTATTCTGAAATTAGACTTAATAGGAATACATATCCAATTAAAAGCTGGTAATATTCACAATATGCAAACCAACGTGGAGAATTAATATAAAGGCATTAGCGATATTATTTCCATAAAAACTATAATTTACTCAAAACGTTTTGTAATCTTCTTAGTTCTATTTGAAATAATTTGGGATTGGTTTTTTTCTTCTTCTTTAATCATTTGTTTCCTTTACATTTTTATCTTGCCCAAAATCTTCCTTGGCCAACATGACTGTAAGTATGCATTGTGCTTAATCTTATCAATGTTGCAGACCTAAACTTTTCTCCAATTAATATTGCCAAATGAAATAAGGGGTTAAGCTGGAGTCACAAAGTCTGCAGTTTGTAAGTTAAAGTCCTGCTTTTGCCAAATCCACTCCACTGCTGACACAAAGCTCTATTTAATGTTCTGCCAATCACTACAAGTCAAGTACAGTTCCACAAGTTCTCAAGTATGCTTTCAAAATGGTTATATAATCTAGATATTGCTTTCCAGCTCACTCAAAAGTGAAGTGCAAAACCAAAGAGAAATATCAGTGTGAACCAGTGGTGGTATTCAAATTTTTTAACTACCGGTTCTGTGGGCGTGGCTTAATTTGTGGGTGTGGCTTGATGGTCATGTGACTGTATGGGCGTGACTTGGTCACATGACCAGATGGGCCTGGCTTTATGGTCACATGACCAGATGGGCATGTCTTTGTGGCCATGTGGGTGGGCATGGCCAGGTGACCATGTGACCACCAAACCAAATACAAATGGTCCTCGCTTAATGGCCGGTTGCTTCGCAAGTGTTCTAATTTATGACTGATCTCCCTAGAGCTACTTGACCTGTTTTGGAGTTTTGACCGCCATACACACACACACACACACACACACACACACACACACACACACACACACTTTTCTAACCCTGCTATTCTATGATTCTGTAAGGATCTCCTGCTGGAGGAGTGGGTTGGACTAGATGACCTCCGAGATCCCTTACAGGCCAGCTCTAGATTGCTGTGTGCTTTCAAAGAGTCTTCTGGAGCCAGGCTTTGTGTCCTTCCTCTCCTTTTTTTCCTCTCTCTCTCCCTCCCTCCCTCCCTCCCTCCCTCCCTCCTTCCATGTATTTATCTACCCATCCATATATCTGATTCATGGTCTCCTCCCTCCGTCTCTTTCTTTCTTTTTCTTTCTTTGTCCCTTCCTTCCATCTCTCCCTTTCTTTCTCTATTCCTTTTCTTCCTTTCGCTTCCTCTCTTTTTTCTTTCTTTCTCCTTTTTCGTTCTTTTCTTTCTTGTCTCTCTCTCCCTTCCTCAATCATTCCCTCTTTTTCTCTCTCTTTCTCTCTCTCCTCCCCCCCTCTGTGTGTCTCTGTCTATGAGTCTCTCCCTCCCATGTATCTCTGTCTCTTTCTCTGCCCCTCTCCTTATCTTCCCCTCTCTCTTCCCTACTCTTCCTCTCTCTCTCTCCCCTCCCCCCTCTCTCTGTCAGTGTCTGTCTGTCTGTCTCTCTCTCTCTCTCTCTCAAAACCACAACTGGGCCAAGCACTCTTCCCTACTTTCAAGGGACGGCGGTGAACAGAGGAGCTTCCACAGGACACGAACCACCTGAGTGGAAGGTTTCCCCCCTCCCTAACCTGAAGAAGGAGAAAAGCTGCATTGACTTGCTTTCTGCTGGTTGTTGTACGGAGCATGGAGAGTGATGGTGTTTGGGGTGACAGGGTGAGGGGTCGGGAGAGAGAGAGGTTGAGCTTTGCAATATGCTGCTGGGTGGAGCTCTGCAGCGTTTGGGGGGCTGTCAAGCTTTGCAGCATGGAGTGGAAGGTGGGGAGGATTTTCAGACTACAGTGGCAGGGCTGGGGGAAGGAGAAGAGGTGAGGAGGGGGCATTTGTGGGCGGTAGGGCTCAGAAGAGAGCACACGCAAAAGCTCTTTCCATTCTTCCCAGGCCTTTTTCTGCCTTCACAGGTGGCATCTTCCACAGCATCAGTCCCACCCTCTTTTCCTTCGCTCATCTCTTTCATGACCTGAGGCGGGGTGGGGGATTGTGCAGGTGTGTGTGTGGGGGGGGGAGGTGGAGGGCTGAGAGGGGGCTAGCACTGAATGGAATCGCTGAGGGGAAGGCAGCGTAGGAAAGAGGCAGCCGTCCAGACCCACGCACAGAGCAAGTAGAGTGGTGGGTGGGAAGCCCCTGAAAGAGGATGGGGGAGAGAAGGAAGGAGAACTGTGGGCAGTGTGAGGCACCTTGTTTTGCATGCTCAGCTGGTTGACTCCCCTGATGCAACCAGCTTCTTTAGCTCGGGGAGGCTGATGGCTGGAGGCAGAGTGAAACCACCGCTGCTGCTGCTACCAGGACTACTACTGAGACTGCCGCTGGTTCGGATCTGTGTGTGTGTTTCTCCCCACCACTTTCAGTGAGTAACACCGAGGCTGGCACTTGAGGTCCCACAATCGGCTGCTGCCAAAGAGGCAGTGGTGGCGAAATTCAACAACGGGGGGGGGGGGCTGAAGCAAAAATGCAGTCTTCTCCCTCCTGGGGGGGGGTAGGGTCACTGCATGTGGACCAGGGTGGGTGGGAATGGCAAGCACACATGCGCGTCTGCCTCTGCTGGAGCTGGAGGCACTGGCGATGTTAAATGGAAATCGACGAGACACTTCCAGTGCAGTTGGCAATCCTTGTTCAGCCAATCCCTTCAGGTGACCCTTCTCCTCCTCCACTCGCGACCGGCACACACACAAAACACAGAGAGTGGGGGAGAGAAAGGGGAAGATAGGGACACGGCCGCTTCACTTTATCCCCTGTCCTCGCCCTTACTTTCTCAGGCCAGGCGAGGGAGGGGAGGGTGAGGGGCAGGACCAGCCGCTAAACCTGGGATCGGTGGCTCCAGGCTAAGCTGGCCAAGGGGCTGCTGCTGTAGGCATTGGCGACAAGGGGGGCAAGAAGCCCCAGGATATCCGCCCACCCACCTGCTTGCCGGCCAGGCTGGGTTGGCCTGAGCTGGAAGAGGTGCATCCACTGGCGGGAGAAGGAAGAAAATGTGCTTCGGGAGGGCGGGCAGGCAGGCGGATGTCCCGGGGCTGCTGCACATGCGCACATCCACTCGAGCTGCCCCATGGCCACCACGTGGTATGGAAAGCTAGGAGAGCAACCGGGACAAGTGGGCGATCGGGCGACGGGATGACCCAGTTCAGGGGCATGGCCAGCCAGAGGTCACCACCAGTTCTGCGACCCATGCCAAATCACTGCTACCAGTTCTCCCGAATAGGTGCGAACCAGTTGAATAGCACCTCTGGTGTGAACTCAAAGATAGAAAACCTACATATTTTTAAATTATTTTTAACATGGAGTCCTAAGGATTTTTTTTTTAATACAAGGAAAGGGATCCAGTTATACAGTACAGAAAAAACCTTTCCCAATTTTATTTCTTCAAAATGGATCTCCACTGAAAGATCTGAAACACAATTGAACTTCCCTAAAATGAATTGTTT